CGGCAGACGCGCAGCCGGCGCCGAAGGAGGCGCAGCCGGCGCCGCAGGCAGAGGCCCACGACAAGCCCTTCGTCCGAGGCGGAGGGTGCCCTGGTGGCTCCCCAAGGCGCCAGGCCGCGCATCAGAACAAACGGCGCGGCAACATATTCACAAAACATCAGGAAGAATGTTTTCGCCGTTTTTGGCCTCTGGGGGACCTCGCCCGGCCCCCAGGACCGTCAAAAGATTGCTCGGTACGAAAAACGGGCCCCAGGGAAGGGGTCAGGACTTTGAGGGATCCCGCATTAAAAAATCAAGACATCAAATGTATGGGTGCTTCTCCACCTAAGACGGGGCCAAGACCCAGAGCGTTCCAGAACGCTTTGGTTGAACGATGTCTCCCAGTCCTCAGTAGCGAAGAAGAGGCAACCACAACCGTTGGACTGAGAGACCCCCCCCGGCGCCCCACACAAGGCACAAGGCCAACCCCGGCCCCCCAGCGATGCTAAGGTTATCGCTGCTGGCGGGTCGGGGTCGGCCTCGGGGGCGGCGCCAGAGGCCGTTCCCTCAGCTCAGCGGTTGTGGTTGTCTCTTCTTCGCCCATGAGGTCCTGGCCCGGCCCGACCTCCCCCAGTCCCAACAGGAGACTCAGACACCTCATGTCTTATTTGTTTCAATTTCATGCGGTGTCTGAACATCGAGGAAATATCCAGGATACTCCATGGGGTTCACGAGAAAGCCGGAAGCGACCGTTGCGCGCGAGAGAGAGAGAGAGAGACACCGAGTGAGAGAGAGAGAGAGAGGAAGAGGAAGAAACATCACAAAACACAAGCGTACAACAAATCAACTGGATGGCTGGCCGAACTGGCGTCAGAGGTCGCCCCCCAAGACCTCCCAGACAGAAGAGAATCGTGACGGAAGGCGCCATTTCTACCCTGCGGAGCCCTCGTCAAGCTGAGCACGTGCGTCGCAAGACACATCGCTGGCGACAGAAGGCCAGGGGAAGCTATCCAGCACCTCCACGCCAGCGCCCCGCATTTGAAAGAGGGCCAGGTCCACCGGTGACTTCCCGATGCACCGCTCTGGGCCGTATATCAGGGGGACGTAAGACCTGGGTACAGGGGACTCGGAAATCTCCGACGAGGTCGTCAAAAAAATGACGAGGCCGAGCCTGCATTTTGACGAGGCCTCCCGCTGCAGACATCCCACGAAACTCCTCGTCAAAATCCGAGGCGCGGTCGTCAGAAAACGATGGCGAACCCGAGTCCTGGCAAACCCGGGTCTTACGCTCCCCCGAGTATATCCTGACCAAGTCTGGGGAGAGGAAGAAAATCTCTGCACACACCTCAACTTTCGGAGTTCCTCGCGGATCTCTGGGATCGGCGCTGGGCCTCCTCCCCGGCGCACGGAGCGCGCCTGGGGGCGAGACTGGAGGTGCCGCCAGGGGGCCCAGCGCCGATCCAAGGAGTCCGCGCGGAGCTCCGAAGATTTACGTCTATGCTGATGTTTCTTCTTCGACTGGATCCAGCTCGGCGTTGCCGAGAAAGTTCGAAACCCTCGCGCCGCACAACGACAGGTCGACGACCACCCGGAGGGTGCTGTCAGGGTACATCCTCCGTATGGCCTGCGAGGAGACGCGGACGCAAGAGGTCGTGGTGCAGCCTCCGATGACCAGCGTCTGCATGCCGGCAGACAAGCGCTCTTCGAACCACTTGTGGAAGTGCGAGTTTCGCGTGATGTCCGTGGTCGGCTTCCAGAAGCACGGGGCGCCAGCCAATAGAGGCTTCAAGTCGTCGTCGTAATCGGCCTCCTCCCCTTCCGTGTAGCACTTCGTGCACAGCACCGCGCAGCCCGAAAGCCGCTCGGGGCTGCGCAACAGCTCGACCGTGTTACGGAACGCTTGCCGGATGGGCGCCACTTCATCGCCGCCCCCGAAGTACTGCGCCCAGAAGCCGGTGAGGAAGGCCTTCTGCAGAGGAACAAAGCATAGCATAAACATAAAACCGCTGGAGGTCAGCGCGGATTTCTCAAATCGGCGCTGGACTCCCCTCCCTGGCGCGCTCCGCGCGCCAGGGCCGGCGCTGGAGGCGCCGCCAGCGGGGCTCAGCGCAGATCCGAGAAAGGCGCCCGGAGCTCCGAACGGTTCTGTCGACGCCACTCTCCCTTCCTCGACCTTCTGGCAGTCGATGAGCAGCAGCCCGCTGTGAGGGCGGAGGTCGCCGGACACCGCGGGCGCGGGCGCCTCTGCTGCGCCCCGGCCCTCGCGGCCAGGAAAGCCGAGCAGGGCGCCAGCGTGCGCGCGCATCCAGGCCGAGCGGCGTCGCGGCCTGCGCCTCGACCCTGCGCCGACGCCGACTCCCAGAGTCGGGCAGGCCAGGGCCAAGGCACCGGCAGCGGCCGGCGCGGGCTGCCCGGGGCCGCCGGGGAGGACGTCGCGCCGGAAGGCCTGCCACGGCCTCGCGGGCCCAGCGCCACCACGACAGGCGCGGGGATGCTGGAAGAGCCTGGGCACCGCGGCCATGCTACTGGGCCAGAAAACAAACGACACCACCCCACCTCCTCCTCCTCCTCCTCCTCCTCCTCCTCCTCCTCCTCTCCTCCTCCTCCTCCTCCTCCTCCTCGCTCCTCGCTCCTCGCTCCTCGCTCCTCGCTCCTCCTCCTCCTCCCCTCCCTCCTCCTCCTCCTCCTCCTCCTCCTCCTCCTCCTCCTCCTCTCCTCCGCTTCCTACTCCTCCTCCTCCTCCTCCTCCTCCTCCTCCTCCTCCTCCTCCTCCTCCGTAGCCATTTTGGCTCAAGCCAGCCTCAAGCCCCCAGGTTCGCCATTTCCCGCCGTGCGGAATGTGCCCCTGTTCGGTGCTGACTGTTTGAGGAGATGGTTCTACGGGAGGACGTGGGTGATGCACGTCCATCGCGCTCTGCAGCCGAGCGGAAAGCGCGGCGCGACTGGGCCAAGGCCTCTGCAGACCGCGCCATCAGGCGGCTTACCGACGAGTTGGCTGCTGTGCGCGGCACGCACGGGGAGCTGCTCAGTTGCCTTTGCTTCCTTTTCGGCAACCAGGAGGTCTGGGATCGGATCCAGGCCGTTCTGCCTGCGCTGGGAGCGCTGATTGCGGGCAAGCTGCCCAGCGGAGTTGACCGACTCCGCCGCAACGTGGCTCTTCACGCTCACCAATGTGCCGGCTCCTTTGCGATGGCGTCCGAGGGGCAGCTCCGGCATGCCCAGAAGGGCCTTCGGCTGGAAGCGAGGCACGACATCGGTGAGATGGATGTGGAGTTGCAGCTGAGCGAACTGAGTGCCGCCTGTGATATTCCTGATCATGCCCGTGGCATCGTAATCGAAGCGTGTCCAGACCTCTCGTCTGATCATGCTGGCGCTGATCGTGATGCCCATGCTGCCTCTCCTTACGGTGCTGCGAGTGCCGCTTCGGAGGACGAGGAGATCACGCATGAGGTTTTCGAGGACGTGCCGACCCAGAATGGGCACAAGGGCGACCCTCTGGTGGAGGCCCAGGCCTTCGGCGACGGCTTGGCGGCGGGCTGGAAGCTTGCGGAAAGCCAAGTCAAGAGGGAGCAGCTGGAGACGGACACGGACGAGCAGGTTTCTGTCAAGGGCACTGCTGGCCCTCCAGGTCCGCCGGCGTATGGAGCGAGGGAGTCGCGTACGCGCGAGCTGCAGCCTCCCCCTCCATGCGCCATGCAGCCGCGGCCCCCGACGGGGGGATGGCCGATGCCCGCGGCTGCAGGCGTTGACGGCGTTGACCTCGAGGGCCCAGCCGAGTGCGCCGTCACGGATTTCGGGATCCTTGACGACGGCGCCGGCACCGACGGGAGCGAGCCGTTCGACAGCATCGAGGTGCTGGAGAAGCTGCTCCGTGGCGCCACGGAGCAGAGGGACACGGCAGCGCTCGCGCTGGCGGAAGGGCTGAGCAACGGCGCCGTGGCGACGCAGGAGTTGCACGACGAGCTCGATGCAGCGGCCGATCGCATGGTCGCGCTTGAGGATAAGCTCGCCTGCTACGCGGCGCTGTGCCAGTCTGCCGCCGACGAGGTCGGCGTGGGCCGAACCTGGGGTTAGACCCAGGTTTGGCCTACGCTCAGGACGGTGGGGCCTCGGCAGGGTTCCCTGGGGCTCCTTGGGGTCTCGCGGGGCTCGTGGGGCCTCCGTGGGAATTCGGATGCATGACCCTCCTGGGTCGAGTCTTGCCTCCTCCTCCTCCTCCTCCTCCTTCCTCCTCCTTCTCCTCCTCCTCCTTGTCCTCCTCGTCCTCGTTTTCCTGCTCCTCCTCCTCCTCCTCCTCCTCCTCCTCCTCCTCCTCCTCCTCGTTCTCTTCCTCCACTAAGGCCCCAAGGAGCTTGAGATATACCAGGAAACCGGGCGCGGTATTTTGCGCGGCGTACGCTATTACAGCGCCCGAGGGGCCGCAGCGCAACATGGAGGCGCGTAGGCGGGGTGGTGTCGTTTGTTTTTTTGTCGAGCTGCCCCCTGCAAAGGCTTGGGCCGAAATGGCGGGTTCGGGAGACCCTGACGCCCAAATGGTGGTCGTGCTTTGTGATATGAAATCTGCGCTCGGTAATAATACGTCCCAAATAGTGCCATGCGTGTGATGCGCGGGCGCAGAAGGCCAGAGCCCAGCGCAAGGCGGAGGGCGCGGCCGCGGCCGCGAAAGAGGGGGCGAAGGAGCGCGCACGCCTTCAGCAAGCACTTTCTGAAAAAAGGCTTGGCTTTGGAATAACTGAACCCTTGAAGACCGACGAACTTCGGAGCTCGCCCAGACGCGCTCCTGGGAGGGCGCGGCAAAGGCCGCCGTTGGCTTTCAATGTCCCTCCCCCTTTCCACGGCCAAGTGCTTTCCTTCGAAATGGCAGGCTAAACACACCGGCCCCTTGTCGGAGAAGCCCCGCTTCATCTGTCTGGCTACGGTCGCGCAGCGGGAGAAGTACTTCGAGCTCGCGAAGAGAACTCGGAGGAACACCCGTGACGGGCGCCTTGGCGACCGGCGGGCTGGCTGCCGCCGCTAATCCCGAATTCGGTTGCGAGGCGACAGAACGAGCAGACCCCAAAAGACCACCGCGGGGGCCAGACCTACTGAAGGCGAAAGGGGCATCCTGTTTTGGACGCGGGCCCCTTCCAGCCCCAAGACGGCCGACGAGGCCACCGCCCCCCTCCGCAAGACCGCACCAAGACAGGCCAAGGAGCCTCCAAGACCGCCCCAAGACGACCCGAGGGGCCTCAAAGACGGCCCGCAGGCGGCCCCGAGCAGAAGCAACGCAACGCGGCAGGGCAACGCGCAACATCCAACCAACGAGGAATAGCAGCATGCAGCGGCAATGCAGCCTTAACGCAGAATGGCTAAATAAGTGTGTGTCGTGTGCGCAAAAAGGAACCCAGCTTCTAGGATGCCCACGTTGGGGCGGACATCGCAAACGCAAGAACGTCACATGCACGTTGGCAGTCAAACGCTGACACTGCTGAATGGAAGCGGGCCATCAGCGCTCTCGATATCCTGCTTGTGACCGTAGTTCAGTGTGCTGAACAGAATCAGATTCAACTGTACGTGGGCGTTTTCGCAAGCCTCGCCCGCGCGCACTTGTGCGCCCCGTTACAGGAGGATGGGCGCCAGGATGACGGGGAAGCGCGGCGAGACGGCAATCGACGATGGATTGGAAACGGAGGCCGATGGCGAGGAGGACGCACTGCAGCGATTCACACAACTCGTGTAATAGACCGGCATGAGGAAGAACAAGGAAGGAGGAGGAGGAGGAGGAGGAGGATAAGGAAGAGGAGGCGCGCCCACTTTCGATGTGTCTCTCGTCCCGCTGGCCCAAGAGCGAGTCACCAGACCCCTCAGATTTGGGTGACGTCTGACATGACTCTAGCTCGGGTTTGCATTACTTCCGCAACCTCCAGAGCCGAACTTATTGCGGGCACGAAGGTCAAGGAAAGCCAGAAATATAGAACCGTGAATTAGCAGGAATGAGCAAAACCCTCTGGGGCCAAGCCTGAAATCGAGGAAACGAAAAGAGCAGAGGCGAGAGAGCGAGGGGAACAAGCAATATGGGGAGCGGACGACAGGCGGAAAAAGGGCACCAACGCGGGGTAAGAAAAGAAGTGGCAAGCCTCATCGCCGCCACGCTGTAGAAGCCGAATCGGCACATGTCAAAAACCCCGCGTGGACGGCCACGCGTTACACACGGTCCCGCGATAGGCATAGCCAACGAAGGAATGGAGAAAACAGAGAGCAGTGAGAAGGACTAGAGCCCACATGAAAAAAACAAAGGCTTCACAATCAAAAAAGTGAAGCCAGTCAACAACCAGTCAGCAGATTGCAACATAGATGCTTGATACTGTGAGATGATGTGCGAAGCTAGCGGGTTTCTTGCACTGACGGGGTAGACCACTCCACACACACACACGTCAAAAGGCATGGAAGAGGCGGGAAAAGGAGCAGGAGACGGCGAGAAGCAGCGCACAGGGCGCGGAATGCCAGGCGCTTGCCCGGAGCCTGAATTCACTCTGCCTCAGAACGCCCTCAGAGCGCGACGAGGTGGGCGAAGAAAAACACGAGACCGACGATGCCGATGGAGGGGTGCAAAGAGAGCTGGAACTTGCCTGCGCAGCCATGGGCGAGCGTCAGGGGGACTTCTGGACGAGACGGCTCAGGATGAGCTCGGGGAACAAGTTCAACAACGTCTCATGGATTAGGAAAGCCCTCGCGTCAACCAGGACAGCAACCGAGAACGTGTCCCACCAGATCGTAGATCTCCTCCTCGGCCTGGGCACGTGAAGTGTAAGCAGCCCGTGCGTGGATTGGAGCCGAGGGTGTCCGTGTCCTTCCAGATGCCACCCTCAACGAACAACTGTCTCACTCCTTCCCAACAGTCGCCGAGGGCGTAACTCTTGTACCGAACCTGCAGAGGCTGGCCAAACCCACACCTGAGAGCAATGCCTTCAAGACTCTTCAGGTCCCACCACGAGAAGGAGGACGAAGAGGCCGACTCTTTTCCCCTCGAGAAGGAGGCCCGAGCATCCTCGCCGGTCTGGAACGTGCTCGTACTGTATAGCAGTACTTGTAGCTTTGACACTGAGCGGCCGCAACGATCCCCAGCCTCTCCGCAAGAGGCCGACGGAGACAGATTGGGAGAAACAGCACACTGACGAACACGAACTTGGCAACGGGCGTGCGAATGCTTAGCACCTGATGAGCGATCAAATGTACTCCACGGATCGGAACCCGCAGAGGAAGGGGCGGCCGAGACCGTGGCCGTGACAGCTTCGGTGAAGGTCTTCTCCATCACGATTAGATGAGCCTCGAGCTGCGCAGCCGTGACGAGGGGTGACGATGCACGTGCCCAGGCATGTCCACGTGCCATATCTTCACCACCAGGGGGAGTGGCAGCGAGAGGAGGGGCGTTCCACGCCTGCGCCTGCAGGTCGTTGATGGTTTCCTGCATGCTGGCCTGATCAAGTCGCATCTCGGCGATGCAGTCGTCGAGCATTAGGTCGAGGGCCTTCATCTCGTTGA